ATGCACCGTAATCATGACATTATAAAAGTTGGCAAGACAAAAAGCAATTTTAAATGTGCCACAATGAGACATTTTCCTGCCACTCAAAGAACTCATGGCTCGTAGAGGTGAAGTTATTTAAGAGATGCTCATCTTAGATTCTAAAGTAACCAACCATCTATCCACCGATTGCAAACATCACAGAGCCTCCAATGGATCCAAAACATTAAGGAGGAGCAAGTAGATATCAGCTCAAGTCAGTCTGACTCAAAATCAAACCATGGCATAGCTGCACAACCATTTAAGCGGTAGTCAAATGGTAAGAACTGGAATCAAAGGATTAACTCCCTCTGTGGTTTCAGGTTCGAGTCCTTGGTTGCTTATATGATAGTCATTGGAGGCTTACATGGTCGTTAACTTCAGGACCCGGGAAATTAGTCATGGTGCGCAAAAACTGGCCCGGACACCCACATTAATCTAAAAAAATTATAAATGCACACACATTCACATCCATTACAATCATCTCCTGGAGCTCAGTTTCGCAGTTCTGCTGATAATATTGGATGCAATGGTAAAATTGAGAAATAAAAAGGAACAAAATCTCTAAGCTTGCCTATGATAATGCAATAAACTGGAATTCAAAGTCTATTGGCTCATATACCCCAGAAGGAATTTATGAGAAATAGCTAGACTTGAACATACCATTTGCATTATCAAGTGGCTCAACAAGTATGAGAAGTTCCTGCAACGCACGTGGCGATCTTCCAAAGATGAAGATGAACTGTTTAAATCATCTATCGCTATCTGCATCAACTGTGTATCACATGGCATGTTCATCTTCTCTATCAACTACTACATCACCAGAACGAAAAAAGAAACAAGCAATTAATAACAGCAGCAAAATTAATCAAAGCCTTGGTTACTAAAAATTATAACCTTAATTTCTAATTGACGCTTCTGTAACTCACTAGCAGACAACCTCTGAACATCTTCTGCACTTTCTTTTAATTTCGCTGGATCAGAATGCCCTAAATTTATCACAAAAACAAGCAATATATTATAACAAAACCACATAGAAAAAAATATTCAAAAAACTTGAAACGGTGTTTTAATACCAATGGCCCATCGTAACACTCCATCAAGAGAAGAAAACCCGCCGTCAAGGTCATCATGGTCGTCACATCCGCACCCATGGATGAATAGTCGCTGTTTTCCCGCTCAGGCTTGCTCAAGAGATCAGACTCCAGTTTTCCTTTTGACCACACTAACTCCGCTGTAGCAGAAGTTTCATTGACTCGCTCGCCACTAATCACCGTTGCAGCGGTTAAAATCACTGCCGAGGCCAACAGAAACCTTGAAACGACACGCTCCATGTTAACTAAGGATTAAACAAGGTTTTGTTTTAGTTGATGAAAAGGATTAATGGGTAATCATATTATGAAGTTGGTTTGGCTTATATGAAGGGGGTTTTGGTTCCGTCTGTGAATGCACGGTTGTGGTATCTACGGGTTTCTGGAAAAGAAGGAAAGAGAGTGGGGCCGGAAGGGTTTGAGGAAGAAGATAACGAGATTACACGTCATGTCTTCGAATCCATACCGTTATTGGTGATCAAGCGGTGTCTGTAGACTTTGATGATGGTTTTCTTCACACGCTCCATGTTCGCTAATCTATGAATGATCCACGTAAATAATTAGAACACGATGACAAATAACAATACCGCGGTTTTTTTTTTAAATATAATTTTTTATATTTTTAAATTATTTTATATAAAGACATTAAAAATACTTTTAAAAAAATAAAAAATATATTTTTAATATATTTTTAAATAAATACCACTTTAAAAAATTATTATTATCAAAATCCCAACCGTATTATTAGTTAATTCATTTTTCCAAAAAACAAAAATTATTTTTATCTTCGGAACATCATTTTGTAACTGTGAGCAACGATATCAGATATTTTGGAAAAGGGATGAAATTGATACAAAAACGAGTAGAGGGACGTTTTAAGAATAAAATGAAGAGTACAAGGGCTCTGCAAGCATTAACCCATGAAAAAGGAGGAAAAGCGGCGGAAGTATTAGGTTACAGCAGCATTGTTGGGGTTCCCGGTTCGCTCCGTTAGGCATATAGCAAAAAATTAGTAGCAGCGCGTGATTTGCATAAATAGAATAGCTGAAAGCAGTACCAGCTAAGGGCCGTAGAGGAGAGGAGAGGAGGAGAAGAAAGGAGCAAAGAAGATATGGTGAGACTGACAGCCGACTTGATTTGGAAAAGCCCTCATTTCTTCAATGCCATCAAGGAACGCGAATTGGATCTTCGAGGTCTCCTTAATTTTATTTCTCTTTCAAAACCCTAACCCTAACATATACTTGCACGGGCACCACGCCCATACTCTCTCATTCTGTATCTTCTAGTGCTTCCTTCTTTGTTTAATGAAAATCGAATCTTGGCCTGCAGGTAACAAGATTCCTGTAATTGAAAACTTGGGTGCTACTGAGGTACTACTTCACTTCTTTTTACTTGAGCCTGAGATAAAGTCGCTTTTTCTTCATGTATATAATGCCTACCTCAAACTAAATCTGGACTGGAGTAGGTTCTGTACTCTCTGTACACTGCTAGTTAATTTCGTCAATGTTCTTGCTTTTATATATATAATTCGAGCTTTAGTTCGAGCTAATACACATGCTGCTACTATGTGTAAACTGAAATTCAAACCTAGTAATGGTCATCAGCTTAATAATATTGCACTTACAATTCAATGACTCTGGGATTGCTTTTGCTATTATTCACCAGGACCAATTTGATACGATTGATTTGTCTGACAATGAGATTGTCAAGCTGGAAAACATGCCATATCTTAATCGGTTGGGCACTTTGATAATTAATAACAACAGAATTACCCGAATCAATCCCAACATTGGAGGTCAGTTTTTAATAATCCTTTAATTCTTTCAAGTTACGCATCCCAATGTGGACAGACCTTATGACGTCTCCTGTTTTCAGGGTTGTACTAAGTACAAGAAGTTTATGTTTGCTTTGTTTTGCAGAGTACTTGCCAAAACTACACACGTTGGTTCTTACAAATAATAGGCTTGTCAATTTGGCGGAGATTGATCCTCTTTCTTCTCTTCCAAAGCTGCTGTTCCTTAGTCTTTTGGATAATACCATTACAAAAAAGCCAAATTATAGGCTGTACGTGATTCATAAACTAAAATCACTCCGGGTTCTTGATTTTAAGAAAGTCAAAGCCAAGGTGAGACTTTGTTTCATTGATCTGCTGTTCCTTAAAATTTTTGCATTCTTGGTGTCTTTATTTTTTTTCATACACATTGCTTTGCTTAAGTGATGTACCTATATTACCCCAACAAAACTATAGTTTTAAATAAGTGCTATTGCATGGAAGATCGAAAAGTGTTCCTTCTGTCTGGTATTTTTTTTAAATATAGTTTTTTTTATTCATGTTGAGTTGCTTTGAAATCTTGCCCCTGAATTGCAGGAGAGAGCAGAAGCAGAACATTTGTTTTCATCCAAAGAGGTTGAAGAAGAGGCTAAAAGGGAATCTGTCAAGACATTCACTCCAGGTGAGATTCCAAATATTCCAGAAGTTGCAGAGGAACAACAGGCTCCTAAAGTGGTTGCCCCTACACCTGAGCAGATTATAGCAATCAAGGTACTATGCTCGTTACACTTAAGTGCTTCATGTCAATCCCCATCAAACTTTGGCAGGTGTGGAGGTGTTGAGTATGTTCTAAAATTATGTTGAGAACCTTGGCATTATCTTCAGTGCTAAAAAATTTCCTTGCTTTTTGCTCATTTATTTTGGAAGGAAAAGAGTATATTCAATTATGATGTGCTCTAGAGCATCAGGGGTGTTCACCATGTCTATCCTTTCCAACTTTACCCTATCCAACCATGCTCAATCTTATTTTTCAATTATTTAGGGAAAGGGAGTCAGCTCAGTTACTGATCATGAAAAACTGGCAGCTTGGGTTATCATTTGAGGATGACTGAATACATTTTCCCTAAGCATGAATAACATCATTTTGTAATTTCTTTTCTTTTACTATTTCTGCAAAACACCAAAATTCCAGATGGCATTCTTAATTTCAATCTGCCTTGCCCACCTATATGTGGAAAAACATCAAATTCGCTCAATTTCGAATTGATTCTACCTTATTGACCTGTTTTTGGGGCCGGGCTATGGGTTTTGCTAGCAATTTCAAATAACCAAGAAGTATTGAGTTGACTGAAATGCTATTCTCTAACCATTCTATCTGAATCTTTGAGCATATGCTATTGAGCACGGCATGTTGTTTTTAGTTTATATTTGATTCCCTTTTCCTTTTCTTTAGTTATATATGAGAATTGTTAGGTAGTGTTTGGCTAGTCTCCGGACATAAGAGACGGAGATAGTAGGGACAAAGTAGACATGTCTTCTTGTACTTACTGTTTTGAAAGTACAAAAATTTCCTCTAAAACTGTCCAAAGATTTTATTTTATGTTTCTATCACCGTTTCTTCAAGCAAACATGTTTATGTCTCTTGTGTATCATTCCCTTGTATCCTAGACACTAACCAAATGCAACCTTTGTTATCAAATATTCAGAGATAAAGTAGTTACCTCTTTAGCAATATCAGACAACCTATATTTTTTTATGGTTTTCTCTGGAAGAAATGAGAACTGTGGATAAGGCTGGATTTGGCATTGAAAAGATGGATTTTTGGTGACTGTTGAGTGGCCTGATTTTGAAGTATTAGATGAATATTACTGAAAGAAGAAAAATATGAGGGAGTAGTGGCAATTACAGCTGTGGTTCCTAAGCAATCACACATTCACACCGAGGATAAGTCAATCATGCCATCTGATGGTTTTTGTAGTCTCATAATGCGATGTTATTGCCTCTGAATAAACAAATCATGGATCTTCGATTGTGATTAATTTGTGCTCCTTCAACCTCATGGAACTTGGAGTTTGGAATCTTCTGTGATAAAATAAAAATAAAAATTCTTCTATTCAAGCAGGAAAATATGAATAAAGATCACTTGTTGGACTAGCAAGACACATGAATAGAAAATGACACCTTGAACTTCTTCTGTTGTCTGTTTCCAATAAATTTTGAAATTACAGAGCTAATCCTAACTCTGAATCTCTAAGAAATCCTATAAAACAATGAACCAGCACTCAAGCAACCCAAATAACCATAGCTAACTTAATGAGGACTCGAGGAAACTCATTTATGTTTGAAATATGCCTTAATTGAACTTAGAGCATGGCTTCCATGTCAAGTTTTCTTTTTCTTGAACATTCGTTTCTGTATTATGAAGTAGAAGCACTGTTATCGTTTCTACTGGCCATAAACTTGGATTTTGAAGCTGCATATTGCTTTGCAGTGTTTTCCTTTCCTCTTAAAACATCATTCTTGTGATGAATACTGCATAGTTTTCCACCAGTTCATCTATAGATTAATTCAGATTATCGTCCGTTTTATTTGGTTGTATGATCGGTGTGCAGGCTGCCATTGTCAATTCCCAGACTCTTGAAGAGGTGGCAAGACTTGAGAAGGTGCATCTTTTTGCTTACTGAAATATCTTGAATTAGAATCTGTCAATATCTCGTGTTTATCACAATACTAACATTTCATGTCCAAATTGTTATTGCTTAACAGGCATTAAACTCCGGCCAGCTGCCTGCAGATCTTAAAATTTTGGATGATACTGGATCAAACAATGTCAAAGAACAAGATGACAAAATGGCTACTGACAGTCAAAATGAGGCTGAACCAAACAATCTGGACGAACAGAAGGATAATGAAGCCACACCTATGGAACAGGTATCATTCTACTTAAATTACTGTTCCGGAACTAATTTCTCTAAATCTCTATGCTTGCTCCGCTCCATCTTCTCGTTTTTGCCTGTGCAATTTTCAGCACAAAGCTGTTCATAGCATCTGCTTAGCAGGCTGGATGGTTTTGGCTTTTATGTTTGGGAGGTGTTTGATTTGTTCACACTGCTCCAAGGGCTTTGTTGTTCTTCCCTTATATGTTCATAGCATCTCCTTCCCATTTCTCTTGCACAGAATGTCAATGGCACTCAAACCCATGCTAGCATACCCCAATTCTTGGCCCTTAAAAGCTCTAAGGATGGAAATTTTATTCCACCAAGCTTTTAAGGCGATCCACTCATTTCCAAGGTGAATTTTTTTATACAGATGCAACAGTAGAGAAATGGACTGGTCCCGCCCCTCCCGGCAACACATAAATTGAATTCCTTTAACCCAGTTCTCATTGATAACCAGTACTCGTTAGCGTGTAAATCTTTGGAGGATAACAATAGGAAATGATTTGGATAGCAGTTAATGTGATTTCTCAGCTCATACAATGAATCTGTCCTTCCATATCAAAAGAGAAAAATCTCTCTTGGTATCGTTGTTTATCTGGAAGTTTGGAATCCGGATTTTATCTGTCAATCTGAATTTGTTGACAGTTGTAGATTTCATCTATGTGGATTATTCTTCCATTGGCTTACAAGTTCATTATTGTATTTATCAAGAGTTTTGATACTTTAAAATGCCTTAGTTCTTCGTGCCTAAATAGCATGTTTTTGATCCCTTTGTTAGCAATTTTTTTTTAAGTTATATGAAATCCTATTGTTTGCTTTTGTCCCCTCTGTTTCTCCCATCGGTAACAGGTTTTGATATTAATGCAATTTCCTTTTATCACATGGTTCTTTTAATATATTTTGTTTTTCTTCTGTCAGGAATAAGAGCTACTTCAAATCCAGTCCACAAGGAAAGGTGTTGGCATTCCTTGACGAGTTCTTTGACAACAACGAAATTATGGTTTTCTTGAGAATTTAATCAGTTTTGCAGGGATCCTCTTATGTGCAATTATTCAAGCTTCCCCGCTTTTTTCTTTGCCAGTCATTTCTTGCTCATGAGGCATGTATTACTGACCTTCTGGGGATGTATACAGGTTGACTGACCTTTTACTGATAGGTTAGCCCTAATTAGCTGCCATCTTTACCTGTATGTCCGGTTTCTGATTTAAAACAAGATGAATATTACTTATGCTTAAAACGCACAATTCAGATGGTTATATATCTGCTCTTCTTTTGGATGATAATTATATATCCGAAACTGAATTGTTGAGAATAAAAAAAATTTGCATGTCTTATGAAAAGTTATGGAACGTGTAGGAATTTGTAATTTACATGCCACAAGAATGGCTATGAATCAAAAATGGCTAAAAAAATGCGTCTGTAATGGTTTCATGAAGACATGATAGCGAGTGTCTTGAAGAGCCAGATCTTCACACAGGTTTGAGAGTTGCTGGATCCCTTCTTAGATGTCACGGGAGTATATGCTTCTGTACAAAAGTTGATTCGGTGGTAAGCTGAGGTGATGGATTTCTCATCTGATGGGATATTTAGATATTATGACCATGGGAAATTAATAACATGATTGGTGAGATTCAAGTTTAATCCTTTTCAAGTCTTGGATGGAAGGTTGATACTGTATTAACGCTAATTACTTGAATCAATGTATGAAACACCGTACACAAATGAAAGGGAAAACGCAAATGACTTCTTTTTATCTCAAAGGGAGGCAGAGGGAGTGCTGGTGAGGAGGGAATACCTCGCTTCCAAGGCGAGGGAATATTTGCAGAGGCTAATAAAGAGTAATAAATAGAGAGAACGGCTCTAGAGATCCTTTTTCCTATTGGAAGATGCAGGAGATATCAAAAGAAGCTAGTGCTATGATAGAAGGGTTAAGGTTCGGACGAGGAAAAGCTCTCTAGCTCTTGAACTTCACGATCGGAATCTGAGGTTGAAAAGGGAGTCAACGATCATATGAAATGGATATGAATGTATTATGTTGATTTAGAATAACCATTAATAAAGTATCTGTTGCTGCTGCTACGACATCTGTAGCTGTAGACTTGTAGTGATAGTGATGGCCGTGGTATAGATGGTACTATCAGGCACGAGCCTCTGCCTCGTCAAGAGATGGTCATGGTCAAACTGGAAGTGGCAATGTCTTCTTTGCTCTCTCTCTCTATTTTGAGAAGCAGCGTTCCAAGCAGTATGGGTCCCCGCTGTTGAATGCTTCCTCTGCCGGTGCTTGGAGTAGTGACTTTCCTGGCTGGTAGGTTCATGCAGAACGCTCCCTTCTACCTTCTCTTAAAATTAAAACTCTAGGCTTCACTTTGTGCTTCATTTCTATTACAATGCAATCCAGTGGTGGTTCATGATGGAACGTCCCACCGCGACTTTGGCATACCAAGCTTGGTATAGTGATCCACTGGTGCCAGCCTCTTCTATTGTCGGTTTTTATTGCCTTTCCTTCATGCCACGGCAATCCCGTAGTCTGTTATCAACGGAGTGCGCAAAATTTTAAGGCTCGTGTTGCTACTAATTTATTCGGGCTGTCCCACCTCCTTGTCACCTTGTGCAATGCAATTAAAAACAGTAACAAGCTTTTGGCTATCTCCTAGTGCGTTATGTAGAAAATTGTTCTGCAATGCCATTGAGACTCTTCCGGCTGTGTTTCTAATTGAACATCACATCCCAACTAGTTTATATATGGAAGTATACGGTTCCATTCATCTGAACAGGGAACAGCATACACTTCTTCACCAAGGTATAGAAAATCCAAGACCTGCGGATCTATATTTTCTAGCTGGTGTATACGGCCAGATAAATGAAGATTCCTAATTCTATCTAGGTTTATAATCAATTTTGATTTGTAGATATTCTTGAACATATTATCAAAATTTCCAGTAGAATCAAGGGAATGAGAAGTAGAGCAGCTGACAGGATCTACGGTGTTTTTACAAGATCAGGAGTTCCCGTTGGTAACTGTATTCTACAAGATAGAAGGGAATCCAACAGGTCAATTTTCAAAACTTTGACTCGGAAAGCAAAACATGTATATAATTTAATTGGGCACAAACCTGGTAAAAACCCACTTCCGACTCACTATAATCTTCTGCCTGCCATGGAATTTAAATTTAACCCTTCTGAGAGCCTATTGTGCATAGTTTCCATTTGCATCTAACAGAAAGCAGAACCTGCCCAATCATAACCCTTGCACAAGTCCCCTGTGGCTTTTCCCAAAGGCATCTTTCATGCTAGTTTTGAGCCTATTTGATCCAGCACAGGAAAGAATTTGTTGATGCGCAAGACAGGCATGAAAGGGATGCGCTCTAGCCTGAAGATGGAAAGCATCGTTTCCTATATAATTAGCCATATACCTGTTGGGCTTCACTTTACACATTTTCTTTGTCCCAATAAACAAGATGCACACAGAAGGGAAATTCATCAACACCTCTCCTTTTTCATGCCCGCACATAAATTCTGTTCTTTGGATCAGGAACTCCTCTGCCGTACCTTGACTTGGGGTAGGGCTTATTTTGAATCTGCCAGCAAAGCGCAGGTCTTCGAACCATGGCACCTTCCTCTTATCATAACAAAAACAAAACAGACGTATCAAACATATGCAAAGAAAATTCCCACTCTGAGATCAAACCAAATTTCCACGTTCATTGACCAAAAATACTCCCTCAGAACCGAAATTGTTTTCGACATCTACATTCAGACAAGGCTGAAACTTTTATACGAAGTTCAATCATTGGGAGTTTCACAAGACAAATCTGGTTATAATAATCCACAATGCCAACGAATACTGAGGGTTCTTGCAACCAAGACAACCTTTATAAAAATGACCTCTAGATTTTATTTCCACGGAGATACTTCCTCCACACAAAACAGTAATTAATTTTGAAACTCCTTAAAATGGCACATACAAAAACATATTGAGCAGGCTCCCTCAGAATAAAGGCTAGTTTTCAACATGTACAGTCAGACAAGGCTGAAACTTTAAAATAATGTTGAATTTCAATCATTGGGAGCTTCGTAGAAGTAAGACAACAGAAATAGAATCCATTAAAGATTTAAAATAAATAACAAGAAGCAAACACGAACAAGAAAAGGAAAAATCAAGAAGGATACACAAACTCTCTCTAGAGTGCATATACGTAATGGGGTTTGAAGTTTGAAAGCTATGCCCGCTTTCGGGTCAGGCCGCAAGGGAAGATGGTGTAATGGCGACTCTTGTCTTCGACACCGGATAGCCCTCCTTTTATAGCTGAAGTTTCCATTCGATATGACCGCTCCAAAACCCTAATACTTTACTGGGCTGGGCTTCGATTTTGATGCTTCGTAATAGGCTTAGGGTCAGCTGTAGTTTTTTTTTTTTTTTTTTACCTCATAAATTACAAGTTAGTTATTGTTGCAAAATGAATTAAATAATCCTTCTACATTTCAAGATTAATTAATTAATTTTTTACTCCTAATTATTTGATAGATATATTAAATAGACAAACAGTTATTTAAATTTTTAGATAGATCTATTAATTTTTTTATCCAATAAAATTCAAGCTTCTTAAATAAACAATTTATTGGAAAAGAAAAGAAAACTCTCATTAAATTAATAATTACTCGTGTAGTAGAGAGAAATAA